AGAGGCTCGCAAGCGTGGGCAAGGGAGCGGTGGAAGCGGTTGATGTCAACGGACTTTTCAGTCGAACCAAGAGCAAACGGGGACGCACCAGGGCCAAGCGCGGCCGCACCCAAGTCAAAATCAGCACCCCCATCAATGCTATCCAAAACACCAGCCACATTCGCAGCGTCACTCTCTGGGATAAACACGGGGAAAAAATCTTGATACGGGGTGTCATCATCGCAATCCATGAGCTGCTCGTCGGTGAGCACACTCGTATCTCCAAGATCCATACCCGCAAAAGTACCCACACACACACAAACTCCGACGCCGAGGAAGGTACTACGTCGGCAGAGCCGGCGGGCGAGACGCTCTCACTCGCAGGTACTACACTGGTGGGACCAGTGGGCGGGACGCTATCAGCCGCAGGCACTACGCTAGCTGAGCCAGCGGGAGGAATACGCAACATGGACATCAATGATTTCACGGAGCCCCCCTTTTGGGAATGGGAACGCGCGGAGCCAATAGCGGGGGCGGAATCGGGGGCATTCACGAATGCGGGCAAAGCAGCAGGGTCTACAATAGTCGCAGATGGGTCGTACGGCAACCGCATGGCATACGCTGCAGACGCTTTTTCCTCTCTAGCAAAGAGCAGTCCCTTTTGTAGGGTTGCACCACGTTCGTCGTACAGGATTGGTTGCTTCAGAGAAACAGCATGCGTTGAGAACAAGTTGAAACTCAGGCTCTCTACAACAGACACGTCAGTGAGCTTCACACACGTCGTCGTTTTCNCTATTTTGAAAGGTTGCACCACGTTCGTCGGAGAGGATTGGTTGCTTCAAAGAAACAGCATGCGTTGAAAACAAGTTGAAGCTCAGGCTCTCTACGACAGACACGTCAGTGAGCTTCACACACATCGTCGTTTTCTCACCATTATCATCCTCCTGAAAGAAACGAAGATTACTGCTACCGATGGCTTGCACTTCTAGCAGTCGACCATCACCTACAACGATACTTCCTACTGGCGGGGATCTCTTGCAGGTCATAAATGTGGAGGCTGCTGTTGGTGAAACTGTTGCTGGCTCCTGAGTCAGCTACCCATCTCTCGCTACCAGGCGGCCCCTCACTAGATTCCACACTCAGCAAAGACGAAGCAGACGCAGCAGACTCTACTCCAATCGTCACGCCTATCCTACTGAAAAAGTCGTCAGGGTGAGACTTGCCTATGGGCACCGATTGTGCCGGTGGAGGTAGCCCGAAAATGGAGGCGCGCCAGGAGAAGGAATAGAGAACGAGGAGAAAGCGGTGCTGCTGCTGCTCGCGGGGGGGGGCTCACGTGGCTGCTCGAATGACGAATCTTC